GATGAACTTAAACTTGAGCAGAAGCTGTGGTGGTACTGACTGCTCAGATAACATGACCTAATGGCCCAATGTTTGTTTCGTTGGACCTGTAAAATATCTCCAATGACTTCAAGAATGGGCTTTGAATTTACCTAATGAGAAATACACACGCAGGCTTCCTTTGTACCACCTGTTGCACTCTATTCACAAAAGAATTATGCATCAAATTTAATTAAATAAAACAATAAAAAATTGTAGCACTAATTTACAACAGCAGTTGTCTCAGGAGATTTGCCAATACCAGATTAGAGAATCAAACAAATAGACCACAGGAAATGCACTTATAAATCTAACACATAGGAACCATTGGTCCATAGGGTAGTGGGGTGACCAATGTCCTTGCTAAATCGTTAGCACAATGAAGGATAAACATACAGACAGCAAATCAAAGACTATACCTACAGTAACCAGATAAATACATATATTCATATAAAGTTGGATAATGTTGGCAGAAAGTGTCAAATCGAGTCAGCTCAGCTCCTGATTGTCTTCATTCACATCGTTTGAACTACTACTAATACTGGTGAGAAAGAGCCATGTAAGTCACTAAATGAAGCTTTGGGGATGAGAGCTGATTAGCTGATAATTGGGTTATGATCAAAACAGGTTTGATGGATTTAAAGATCTAGGTACTGCTCCTACAATTTTGTTTAGTTTTTTTTAAGATAAGAGCAAAAACCAGCTAAATTTCACCAAACAAATTGGCAACCCAATTGAAAAAATCATTCAGCTCTTTGATTGGATAAATATTATGGACAATATGTTGTTTGTATTTTCAATCAAGAATAACTCCACCCTATCAATTATAACAAAGCATGGCTCAAAATACAATGCAGTATTTATGAACTTATGCTGGCTTAGGACACTGCCACACTAATGTGAGGTGTCCAGTGACTTGTTTATCACCTGGAACACATTAGTTGCAGACCGTCTTAAAGAGTACATTATGCCCATTTCCACTCCATTATCCACTAGCTCTAAATGACCTCAGGGAAAACCACAGCAGTAATAAGTCACTGAATGCCATCTCTCATTCTATTGTTATGTACTTTTAACAGCAAGAGCTAATTGGCATCTAGTTTTCAGGGAACCTATAAAGCAGATGCCATCGCTCACGCCGTTTCAATTACTTCACAGCACAAAGGAAAAGTTCCACCCCCAATTCCTCTCTCGTCCGTCGCCCTAAAATGTCTAATTGGGTTTTGTCTTAAAAAGAAGCCTGTAATTGGATGTTTTCAAAGTGGTTCTTGAAGATGAGGTAAGTTCACACAGGAGGTGTAAAGTGTGTGTGTGGTGCAGAGTGGGAGGTGATGGGCCCAGGGCTTAAACATTACAACTGGGATCGCTGCATGCACATAGCTCTATGGTCAAGCTGCACTGACTTCAGCTGCTGCATTAGAATGTGCTGGAAGCAGTACATCAGGGGTGGTCCTCCTGTGTGCATGGATGAGATTGTTGTGTTATAATACAGGGAGCAGCATTTGAATTCAGAAACACTATTAATCAGTCATTGACATGTCAATAAGTTGTTGCAATAATATTGCTATTACTGTTTACTGTTTAGAATAAAAGTCACATAAGTCAAACTTTCCACTTGATAATTTGCAGACAAAAATGAAGTGGGCAATTTTGTGCATATAATGATTTGATCAACAGGTCAATTTTTGATTTTATTTTATTGTACATAATATATCCTGCACAAGAGACTAATACTTTAACCTTTAATAAGTTTGCACACTTCCTGTCTTTTTGTGATTCAAATGTGACATGTACATTTCTCCATTGTGAGATCAATAAAGTTTATCTAATCTTTTCAGTGCACACTTAAAAGCGGTTTTATTTCAGAACTTACTGTGGCATGTATAATGAAAATAATGTGACATTTTCTACTCTTTTCTGCTATCTCATATTCCTTGGGCATGTCGAGCCTAAGGGTTTGAGTTAATGACAAGGTTTCTGGCATTACCATTGTGCTGTAAGACACTGTGGGGTGTCAGGGCAGCTGTGGCTACAAAGCCCTACATAATTCTATTGCAAAACTAATAAAGTTACGTATTCATTGATTTTTATTAGCCTTAGCGACGTAATGTTTACTCACTACAGACACATTAGATGAGGATTAAACACATTCATTACAACTACTGGGTCTTTATCCTTCCTGAGACATGGGGAGCAGAAGTCACAATGAAAGTGCGAGTGGTGGTGGGACACTTCCTTTTCGGAAACGCTCCTAAATCTGATTAACAGCATTCCTCTTATGTCACTAATGCTACGTCTTGGCTCCAGAACAATCGGTTCCCTGAAGTGTGTCCCACATTACAACATAACCAGAAACAGAGCGTCAGACCACACACTTGTTTGTATCAAAGAGTAAGCTTAAATACTGTAGTATGTGGCGAGGAGCTGATTCCACAAGGACAGCGCTTCTCAAACTGTGGTGAGGGTCCAGCTATGATACAGTCTATAACAGTTCTAGTCTTACATTTACTCTTTACCCACACACCCCTATGCACACCCCTTACACTTATCCAGTTACATGTAGTCAAAAGCATGTGTAATGATATCTAGTAAAGGTAATATAAAAAATATATATATTGATTTATTTGTATTCAATTTACTTTGATTTTTGAAAAGTTTGATTTCTGCAGTATTTGAGTTTTTTTTCTTCTCAAGGCTAATGCCATTGAATGTATACTGAAACCATGGAGCGTACATATGACTGTTCTATGACGGGCATCAGAGGGAGGAGATGGTTTGGTGCCATTGCAGTGATCCGTGAAGACTGGAATCACAGTCTGGCTTTAATTACACTGATTAGACTGAGCTGAAATTGAGCATGAAATCCACTCGCTGATCTGGAGTCAGCGGAACACATTTGATTGGCTGCTGTACAAGAGCCCCTCAATCCCCTCTGCTACTACGATGAATGAAAAGAACATGATTATGAGAATATGACATGGTGTATTTTACTTGACAGTACACATCATTCCTCAAAAGCAGAGTCACTTCTCACATACAACAGTTCATTCGACCACTGAAACCAAATCATTCACTTTTCAACATCCCCATAGTCCCATTTTTACTTTCAGTTCAATTTCACTGCAGCTAAATCAAATTAAATTGGAATGAATACAGATGAGAATACCGACAGCTCAAAGGTGAACAATGTGACTATATTTACAGCAGTAAACGACTGATTTTTTTCTCCTGAGCTGAAGTCTAAAGTCGTCCTTTCTAAAAGCCTGTAATGTTATTTCCATAGGGATACATGTCTCAGTGATGGTGTCACCATGTGCCACATCCTGCTCCTCTCTCTGCTCTTCTAGGATTAAGCCGACATGAGAGCGCATGCTGAGGTTTGCTTCATCTACTGCCCCAGGACAAAAGACACTCATCACCTGCATACGTTTATACACATGTCTTTTACTCTTTTACTTCTCTCTGTTACATACTGTGTGTAACCAGATAATAACCATACTATAGCAATAAAATAGTGCCATAGAAAATAACATTTGGTACATAAGTTATGTGCCGTACAGTGGAAGGTTAGAGACAAAGGAACATTATAGCAGGAAGAGGCGATCTTTAAAGTATTATTCAGGTTTGTGGAGAAGTGTAAGCCCGCTAAAGACATACTGACATATTGTAAAAACTTATTCAAGGTGTAATTTAATAAATGTGTTTGATTTGTCTCTGTATTGGTACTTGGTCAAAAGCTTATTGACTTTAGTATCAAATAGAACTGGGTGTATGTTTCTGGACCCACCTATATCTACGGAATCTATTTTCTTAGTTTAGATCAATTTCATGCACGTGAAAATGTTCTTTAACTGACAAATCCTGTTTGTGATTTTCTCCCTTCGTGCGTTTGGCTTTGGGACTTTGTGACAGTCACTATATTTCAGTCATCCAGCCAACTTCAGCTCTTACTGTATATACCCATGCTACCTCAACCTCTTGAATTGTTTGAGTATATCAACATCATTTGTTTGTGATTGTGGCACAAAATTATGGCTTTAATGTCGCTGGTGAGAAAACAAAAATTTTTCAATCAGCCAACCACAGCTTTGTCGAATGTAAACCCATATGAACGTGTCGTATCTCCTTATAAAGCTCAGAACAGACCTAATTCAAAACTATTTTATAAATACTATTAGATGGCAGTATTTGAATGGAAAATACTGAAATTGTTGGGTTTTTAATAGTGGTTTACAATAAATCTACATTTGAACATTTTATAAAGTTGTTCCCATGTCTTTTTTCTGCTCTACAAAACTACCTTAGAATCAAATGCATGATATAAAAATAACTAAACTAATTAACTAAACAACAGCACAACTAATAAGGCGTTCCAAATTATGACTAATATCCTTCTCGCACATCAGATGCATCATCTGGTTTTTAGGGATTTATTTGTGTGGAACGTCAGCTCTGAGAATTTTTCACATTCACAGGAAAAGTTTAAAAATCTTCTTTTAGAAAGTTTTGCAAAGAAAAGCTTTTTGGGTATTGAAGTATCAGTATATTTCAGAATAAAATCATAGAACTGCCACAGGTGGGCGATATCTGCATAATATTTAAACATTTTAATTCATCATTGTGAAAAAAATAGTTCCAGGTTGAACAAGATTTTCCATCTTGCTAAAACAAAGTCCTTTTGTCTGATTTGTAACACTTTGCATCTTTTTCATGAAAAAATGTATCAGTAAGTGGTAACATTAATCTACATTTGAGCCTGTTGGTCTCAGTATCCTTGGGCCTATACAGTAAAGAAAGGAAACGATTGGGGAGTTCATTAGAATGTTTTAGGCTGTAACATTTACAAAGAGGTGACCGTACAGACCTGCTGTGATTCCATCAGACTGATGCTGAGGCCGTAAGTAAAGTTAAACACACGCTGTTGTTGAATGATGGACACATTTCAGAGTGAAGTGAAATCCAAGAGTGCGTAAAGGACTCACCCTGGAGCCGGGCTTCTGTGCGCGTGCGTGGCGCAGGTGACAGAGCAGCAGCGGCGCCAGCAGAGGACAGGACGTGAGCAGGACCAGCGTGGACATGAACATAGTGATCTGACGAGCAGGCACCAGCAGTCACCTTCAACAGGTCCCGTGTGGAGACAGAGACAGGGCCGATAATGCTCCGAAGTGTCAAGAAGAGATGCCTCAGACCTGCTCCTCGGCTTCATTCACATGATGAGACGCGCGGGTTGAGGGATTTGGCACCAACCATTTTCTGTTATCCGCGATCCGCGCTGAGATTAACTGTCTGAAACCAGGTCCGGTCTATGATGCGCACTCCATTTAAAGCAAAGGTGGAACAGTGGTGCTGACGGACGTGGTCCACGGTCCAATAAAAATATCAGGTTTAAAACCACGCCCCAATGAAGTTGTGTGAAGTTTGCAGAGCTGCTGTGGTCAGTTACAAGAGAGAGGAAAGGATCCCAGCTGCCTCACCAGGACCATGGGAGCATCACAGTGACTGCAGGCACTGACAGAGCTATTGAAGGCTCTGTTTTCAGCTTCTTATGGCCATTCTAAAGCAAAGAGCGGACTAGAATGGACTACCATGACATTTAACCTGCCACTTAACTACAATGAACAGATCAATTGATTCAAGTCAATAGCTGTCACAAAAGTCATGAAGTACTCAGAAAAGACTTTTAAAAGCAGACATTTAAAAATTCAATGTGAATATGTTGTTATAAGACTCCTCATCGTAATAAATGAATTAATACTACATCATTTGAAATATAGCTCCGGTTAGATGAACTTGTATTGAATTGTTGTCTTAAATTATCATGATGTGAACAGCTCAAATAGATCAAACTGTAGTTATCACTAATCTTTTCATTCACAATGACACTCAGTATAAATGAGTTCAAAAGAATCGGTGTGCGCGAGTGGAGTGCAGGTGTCCTGTAGAAGAGGGCCTTGTGGTGGGATGGGTCTGCAGTCCCGGCCCCTGTGCTCTCTGCCTGTCTTTGTCCATGAGATATTTTTAAAGAGGACACAATGAGAGTGGAGTCTTTTGGAGTGGTCCGCAGAAGAGGCTTTAATTAGAGCTATTGAGCTGCAGGAATTGGCACAATTAGTGTCAGCATTAATGATGTGAGCAGCACTATGAATTAGGGGGAGTTTTCACACAGAGAGAGGGGAGCATGAAAAAGTAAAGTGGCATATTTTAACTCTTTGTTACATGTGCATTCAAATAACGGCACAAGTTCTTCAGATCTTTTACTGGCTTATTCAGATTACTTATTGTGTCTTCAGATACTCCTCATTGGATGCAACAGGTTCATGTTTTATAGCTCACATAGTGTCCTGTGTTATGTTACTTCTTACTGTGGGATGTGGAGAAATCCAATCATGTGAAGAAAAAACCTCGTCTCTGTTATTTATTTATTTACACATTACATAAAATCAATTAATCAAACCATCAGGTGGCCTTGAGACACACAGTAATCATATATGTGCTTCTGCTCAACCTGATCTCAACCTCAAAAGGAGCACCCAGAAAAACCCTGCACACAAAGCACTTCTATGATGTTATCCCCATATCAGCATCTGTTGACCTCTTTAAGAGGTTTGCTCTAAGAGAACACTGGAGACATAACTTCCCAACAGTGAAATGTTGAGATGTAACAGTCTTGAGGCCTTAAGAGTGAGGACAGGGCACTGGAGGAATGTTAACGAGTCCAGTTTCTATGCGTTTCCATTGAGCTCTCGGTCTTGACAAAGAGCACAGGTCTGTGTGGGGCTGAGGCCTGTTTAGGGAACGCTCAGGTCGACACATTAATTCTGTTGTCATTTGGCCATGCATCAAAGACACTATAAAGCACTGAATAGACACACTCAATAGATCTGTACTTCCTAATTACTGCATTGGCCATCTCCTCCCTGAGGATTACACTGGCACATACAGGCTAAATTAGCAGGTGTCTGTGGGCATGACACACTGGACAAGGGCCACCCAACGACGGCCCGCAGCAGGTGCTCACAGATGTTCTGCGCTAATGCTGTGTGCAGTGCACACAGTGGGAGCATAGACATTCTATAATGAGTTTTCAAATTCAAAATATCATATTGTGGTAAATTGAGATTTGGATTAGGAATTGTTTAAAAACAGAAAATTAAGGTATTTTTTATGTATTGATGCACATGAAATAAATCATGTCTCTGACTGAATGATTTATCAAAACACAACATCTCGAGTTTAAATCTGAAACATGCAGCCGAGCACATATTGTATTAGGATGGCAGAGGAAAGACTAATCTCTACACAAGGTAAGCAATGTTTCCATTTTAGTCCTTGAGTCGCTGACAGAAAGAAGTTGGTAATTGGATGGAAAAATTGTTGCTCACATAAAACTCTCTTCTCAAGAGTATCATCTGGATTTCATTTGATAAATTTCACATACAGTATTTTATATGTGCTGCATGACCACAATTTTCACTGGCTTCTGGAACAAAGTGAATACATTTGGCCTCTATAACAAGTGATGTGACAGCACAAACAAACAGGAGTGCTCGGCATTAGAGAAAGTGTGAAAAGGACCATTGAGCCTGGTCCGGTGTCACACACCTGCGCGATCCATTCACCCTCTATTTACACACTGTCATACACAATTACAGCCTCCGCCTGTCCGCCTCACCCCCACCTCTCGGCCCTTATGGCTGTCTAATTGAGCATAGCGCCCAACTGATTGAATCAACAGCTCTGTCTCAGAGACCTTTCCCCTGTGCTGAGGAGGGGTCTGGGACATCCCACACAGCACAGGGCAGTCGTGAAGGGGGCAGTGGTGTGGGGTCAGGGGGTAGCTGTTAAAGGCTCCAGAAAAGTGTCCATTCTGTTGGCAAACTCCGACTGGAGATGTGAAGTGGGGGCACCCAAAGGTCCCTGTCTTCACAGGACCAGCAGGGAATCACACAGGTGCACATCAAGCTGGACTTTCTCACACTCTGGTCTTTGTGTTGTGTTATGGTCCCACATTGATCTCAAAGTATAAAAATGAACAGAACAACTGCTCGAATCTCTTAGGCCCATATCACATGAAGGCCATTGTGTCTTGGATGGATTCTTACCAATGGGCCATGAAAAGTTCATGATCTTATATTTTATTACAATGTTATTTGTTTTCAATGGCAATTGTCTATGAACTTTTGGTTCCCAGGAAACCTCCAGATGGATCATGGAACTTTTCAACCATTGCAGATTGCTTTTGGTCTTTATGGAGGGGGGCTGGAGCTATCCCCTGTAAAGTGGCTATTGGCTAGCAGCAGAGATTATAGTTATATTTTGAAAAAAACACTTGCATTGATAACCAATTATAACTCCATCTAGCAGTTTGCAATCAGCACAGCGCTTTGGTTGACCTTGGGTTGTGAAAATGTGCCACATAAATAAAGATTACTTACTTACTTACTTACATACTGTGCAAAGATGAGTTGAATCCACCAGAAAATAGAAGTTGATGAGTAAATGGTCCTGTCTATCTCAGGTAAATATGTTGCAGACTTTAGGACTTGCAGGTCCACAGAAGTAAAAAATCCCAGAGGACACAGCTCTGGCTAGAATCAGGTCATTTCTACAGCTCAGTTTGATCAGTCTTGTGGCCCAGTATGGTCCACTGCGTGGGGATACTTGTGACTTGCTCCATATTTCCCTGCAGACATATGTTCTTTAAACTAGGCAGTATGGTTTTAATTATTATATTTTTAATACATTATTATACAATATAGTAACACTGAATTTAATGCTTGGTACAATGCAAGGGCCTATTTTTTCCTCAAAAAGCATTTCAATCAAATAAACAACCTATACTATAAATATCATTGATGTTGGGGGTGTTTTTTCTGGGGGTCCCAGCCTCATCAGGGTTTTATAACATCCATAGTACACAGTCTCTATTTCCACATCCATCCGTCTATCCATCCATTTTCTTTCCCTAATCCATTTCTTAATTGAATCTTTTAAAACTAGTTAACTCTCATATGATTGCCTCATTGCAGAAGTATTCTCACCTCTCCATGAACCCTTGTCCATCTGTGTAGAGAAGCATGCCCAAGCAAAACACAAACAAAAACATCCAAATTTGTCTGCGCCCTCCAGACCCCGTGCCCCTGGTTAATAAACCATGGGCCGCACGTTCCTCTAGTCACTGGTTTCACACTGTTGCCCTAATGCGACTCACGGGAGGGGCCAATTAAACCAGCACTGCCACTGCACCCCACCACACTGCCCACCCACTCCCCTTTGGGTCAGGAGTTTAGTGGGTCAACAGAGCACTTCAGACACAAATATCTAATCCCGGTTCAGGTCTGGAGCTGGACCAAACCGGACCAGAATCTGAAGGCCTTTATTTGTGATGTGACACTTTATTAATGACCAACTGGGTTAATGCGTGAGTCATGAGGCTTTTCTGCATGAATTCCTCAAACCCGTGACTCAATGCGTTTGGTCTGACTCTTGCCTCGAGCTGTCTTTGAGCTTGTTTCATGGTGCAACAAAAATGCTATGTAAATGTATTCTCAACAACCACCTAATTAATGTAAAAACTTCCACTTATTTTACTATAAATACTATAAAATAAAATAAGGTTATTAAAAAAAGTGTGGTCGATGAAACTCACCATAATATAGCAATACTGTTAGGTCCGCTCCCTGTGTGATGTACTTTAAACTTGTGAATTGTCCACTTTCAACCACTGTTCCATAGACACAGGTGCAGCATCCACATCCTGTAGATTACAACGCCATCTAGCGGCACAATCTGATATGACAATATTTTTTTTAAAGTGTCAATATTGCATATTACCTTACACTATATTCCCTTAATACTTGGATCAATTCATTTGAAAAACATGACCCACTGTTAATTATGGGAAGTTTAGTTTAGTTTTGGATGGCCAAAGAAAAATGAAAAAAATGTTTGGCTTTCTATTGTATCTCCTCTGTCAGTGGAAGATAATAACTTTTGTCAGGCAATGATAGATATTTACTCCAAAGATTATGGTTTTATTACAACACAAGACAGATCCGCTCAATGGTTGTACAATGTAATAGGAATAAAATGTAATAAAAGCATGAGCCCTAAGAATATTATGTGAGGCATAGGTGATGGGCAATCCATTTACTGACTTAGTGGCAAATAGCCAATAGTTTAGTCCAACAAGGTTCATTTTAAGAACCTGTGGTTAGATTTACCTGATCCAATCAGACGTCAGAAGCTGAACACGGCAGGGCCTGGTTACTACTGTGATGGGAGACCTCTGGTGCCACAATTGGTAAAGTTCTAAACTGTCATTGTATCCTAAGGCAGGACATTTCACTCACATTGCCTATAGTGTAAGTCTAGTGTGTCTCTGAATGATTGGAGGTGGTCGGAGGGCCCAATGGCACTTACTGGCAGCTCTGTTTTTACTAGTCTGCCCCATGGCAACTGTGACTACAGTAGTAGATTACCACCACCGTGTGGAGTGAATGAATAATGCCATGTGAAGCGTGCTACATAAGAAGAATGCATTATTAGTAATCATTGTCAGGCTCTTTTAGTCTCTAACTTGTATTATATAATTTCTTAAAGATACCCAGGGGTGATCTAATCTTTACGTGGACCAAGTATTATTTATGCTCAAGGGGAAAACAACATCATTAAGTCGATTAGCCGCGTGTTGTCATGCTAAGAAATGTTGTGCAGATAAAAATCACTTGAAAGTAGCTACGGCGATGTACGTTGGCTGAGAGGCCATGGGACACATTTTCCACTCACATTTCAGCATCTTCTCCAGGAGGGGGCGGAGCTACGGGCGCTGGAAGAGGGATGCTGAGGCTGGGCAGGTGGATGTTTACTGTTCACTGCGCTCCTCTGCAGAACCAGCCTTTTACGTCGTCAAATCCACACATATTGATCTCACACGCGTGTTTTCGGCACATTTTCACGGGAACATTGGAGCTTTCTGTGCGTGTGGACGGACAGGCTGTGATGTCCACCGTGTGTCGCGGGGTGTGATGCGTCCTAAGCGCCACCGCGGCCTCAGCCTCTCCGCTTGGCGTGGTTATTATTATGCGGGAAACAGCGAGGGGGAGCGCACGGAGAACAGGGGAACAAAGCACGAACAGCCGGAGCATTGAGACGCGGGCACACAGTGGCAGGTTAGTACAGCTTCCAGGCCTGCATATTTTGCTTATGAATAACAGTAGCGTTGAGATTTTAGCAGGACTCCTCTGGGCCTATTTATAGCCGATAACATGCAACATTAATGCATTATGCGCATGTTTTCTTTAGTAGCCTTTAGTAGTCTTTAGAAGTACTCATTATGTTGAAAAGTCACAGTCAAAGTATTCAGCTTGTCTCAGTAAAAACATCCTTACGCTGAGTTACCACACCTTCTGTCTCACCAATACAGGCTAATGTATGTCATGGGTAGGTCCAGGATGCATTTGTGGGTTGATTGAGTGATATAGAGTGAAAAAATACGTCTAGAGTAATCAAATCGTCACAGCCCAGTTACTCCGCCAAAAATAGCGTCTCTATAAAAGCACAGTGGTGTTGCCGTACGTTATGTCACTTCCCTAGAGGCCAGATATGTCTCATCTGGAGTGTATGAATCTGTGTTTTCTGCATGCATGAACTTGTGTTGGGACCATCCCCCATAGACTTGGCATAAAAGAATAGAGGTAAAGGGCTGTAGACACCAAAGGAAATACCTAGGTCTAGTATGATGTGAGAATCATTGCAGTAGGACTCAAAAAAGGCCTACTGGTGATGACAACTGTATACTGCATTAGATTATCCTTGATAACAAAACAGCCAACATATTTAATGCAAGATAACTGAAATCATACAAAATTACGAATGTTGTATCTTCAACTTTTTTGCACGTGTGATATTTTCAAGTCAACAACATATAGAAAAGTAAGGTATATCTTGTTTATAACTGTTCCTCTAGCCATAGTTTTGAGCTCCGAAAGTTAAAAGTACATGTTTTACCAATGCTTTCCCTCTTGTATGTCTCCCACCCACACTTGCAGTCAGTCATGGTGGACCCTTCGGAGGCAGAGGAGCAGACCAAGTGCAAAAGTCTGAGCGTGGCAGCTGAGGACCCTCGAGTCGGCGACCACAACACAGACGATGGCGACGGGACAGCCGAGGAGGACGCCTGTTTCCAAACTCCTCCCACTGGCAGCGCGGAACCCAGTCCCTGCCACACCATATCCATCCCGGAAACCCCCTCTCCTCAAATGGTCCCGTCACCACAACCGCCACCCCAAAGCGAGCGAGATGTAGCTCCAAAACTCCACTTGGATCTGTACAACTTCGACTCGCCTGCTGCAGAGGGAAGCCGCTATGTCTTGACCAGTCCACGCTCTCTGGAGGCCTGTGCGAGATGCGGGGTAAAGCCAGTGGAGCTGTTGCAACGTCCCTTGTCAGATTTCGCCAGAGAAGCTCCAGGAAGGTCCATGCGGGTAGCAACTGGGTTGTTTGAGGTCTACGAGAGAGAGAGACATGGCAAGCTGAGGCAGTGCAAAGAGGAGAGGGAGAGGATAGTGAGAGAAGAGAAACGCCGGATCCTACAAGCTGCAGTTAACAGCAGTGTGTCATCTTCTCCCGAGCAGAAAGCTTCACCTCCGAAAACGGTTTCTGTTATTTCACCAACGGACAGCGGATCCACACCAAAAGCAGCAACTCCAGCTCCAAAATCAAATCTTTTGTCTAAGCCTTCTGTCAACAATCTCAGCACTTCGCCAAAATTGACCCAAAATGGTACTTCAAAAATTGGATCTAACAGCTCTCTGGCATCAAAAGGTTCAAGGACAAAATCTACCGAACAAGTCAGACTGACGCGGCAAAGATCTTCGGGGCCTCCCCCAGTTTCGAGGAAGTCCTCTGGGGGTAAAACACCCAATACTTTTCCCAGATCAACCCCCAAACCACCCACTTTTCCAAGAGCTAACACAACGCTTGCATCGTCTGTTTCGAAACCAGCTACCACTCAAGTTAATGGAGTAATAGGAGGACACTTCGGTCAGCATAATGGACACTTAAAAACGCAAGGTAAAAGCCATTCACTGGAGTCATTACAAAAGAAAATTGACCCAATTTATTCGTCTGGATCTACTAACACAACAAATACCTGTACCTCTTCGGAATCAGGAGCATCTTCTGCCTATAGTTGGGACGGTTCCAGGGATCACTGGGCAAAGTTTTCGAGTCCCAGAGCACGCACATTGGCTACATTCAATTCCCTAATGGGACGAAGTCTTAGTTTGGGAGATCTAAGCCACTCCCTGCAAACCACTCAGAAGGTGGAACGCATTGTGAAGGAGGTGAAAAGAAGAGGACTTAAAGCTGTTTCTGAACGGGACAGGAAGATAGCAGCGTTGATGTTAGCCAGATATCAAGAAGAAGATATTATGAGTCAAACTAGATTCGTGGCACATCTTCAATGGGACAGTGAGAAGAGAATGGAGGAGTTTCGAAGGGAGCAGGAGGAAAGGGATAAACAGAAGGCCGTGGTACAATGTCAACGGGTTTGGCAAACACAAATTTCTATACGTCAGCAAAGACTAAACCAGCAAGAACGAGAGGCTGCAGACGCCAAGCTGAAACAAGTGGAAGAAAATGAGGAAAAGTGGAAAGAATTAGCCGAACAACAAGAAAAAAATCGCTTGCTGAAGTTGCAGCAGGCGGCGAGAGAGGAAAAGCATAAGAAAGTGTTACAAGAGCAGAATCTAAAGGCCTTAGAGGAGGAGCGAGCCGCCATGTTGGAGCAGGAAAGGTTATTGTTGAAGGAGAAGCTGACCATGGCGGAGCTAAAACGGCAAGAGAAGGAGCACCAAGCACAAGCAGAGAGACTTGGTTTGAACAAGGCAGAGAGGCGAAGACACGCAGCAATTATTCGAGAGATTGCACGCAGAGAAGAGGAGGAAAGAGAGGAGGCCAGGCGGCAAGCTGAGGAGAAACTCAACCGATCCCTGGAAAAATATGAGCAGATTGTGGAACGGAGGGGTCAGGAGCTGAAGGAGAAGGCCAAACGTGAGGAGAAACAGATTCAGAAAGCACGCAAGGCTGCAGAGAGGCGTGAGAAAATTCAACAGCAGCAGTTTGCAGCTAAGGTTAAAGAAGCGGAAAAGAAGGCTCAGCACGCTGCACTAGTGGTGGAGGAAAGGGCAAAGGAGAAGTCTCTAAAGGCGGTGCAGAGCAGGCAGGAGAAGGAGCGATTACAGAAGCTTAACAGACAGAGAGTGGAGGAGGAGGAGAGACAGAGGAGGCTGGAGCTCATGCAGTCCATCGAGAGGAAGTTAGAAAAAAGTGAGCAGATTTTCAAGGAGAAAAAGGCTGTTTTGGAAAGCGCTCGATCAGTAGCCCGTGCATCTTTCCACGTGCGGGACAAAGTAAGAGAGGAGACCAACATGCGCACGTTTGATAAAATGGCACTGGAGGCACAGCTCAAAGCCAGTTTAGATGAGAAATAAAATACAGACCATATGACACCTGCCTTCACTGTCAAACAGCTTTACCCCATTTTCCAATTCCAATGTTTTTCATATCTTAACTTTCATTTTATATCTTTTTTTAACATTAAGACATGGATGTAAAGCAGACCTCAGCTGTATAAAAGCCAATGCGGAACATACTTCATTATGGATGAGTGCATAAAAGGGACTGATAAAACACACTTCCACTCGGCCCTTTCCAGTGCCTCAGCCACTGGACTGAAAAATGCGCTGTTGAAAAGACTTATTGTTAACCAGGAAGCACAAGTCCGGAATACAAAGCTTTTAAGTGTCCTGCTGCAGGGCATGAATAAGCTAAAAAAAAAGGACATGGTTTGACTTTGTGCCCTTGAGCAAGTATTCGTAATGACGTGATGCAGTGGGCAGCCTTTGCAGAGAAAAAGCCTTGATCCACTCACATGTTGTTCCCAAAGCTGACGTTGCAACAAGCCTCGTGCTGCTGACCAATCAACATGGGATTTCACTTTCTGCAAAATACCGACATCATTCAACTCAGCAAGGACGTTCCCTGCAGCAAAGAAGGGCCCAGAACTGCTCAAATACACTGTACCTGGAATTATGTCAAGGTCAATAGCAGGTATGAATGATGATGTTATATAAGTGGTATCATCAAAGAAAGACGTCCATTTGTTATTAAGACATTGTTGGTCCTAATAACAAATGTAAAGCCATTAAACTGTCCATTTGGGGAGAATGGACAAAAACCTTTATTCTTCATAAGGTTTTGGTGTCTGTTGTCTCTTATATGTAGACAAATGAGAGATATAGATGCTACATGTTCCCTACATACCAGATACTACATGCTTTCAATGCAAAAGGAAAATCTAAATCAGACAGTATATGTTCTTATACTGTATCCCCTGTATATTCACAATACACAATAATGTATGCAAAGACTGTGCATTATTGAACTACAGAAAGGGCTTGCCTCTATATTCTACACCAGCCTTTGAGCAGGCTCACCCCCATGTGACCGAATGACCGAAACGCATCCTCATGCAAAGGCCTCTATGTGCTTTAATCCTGCACTGTCAGATTGAAAAAAAAGAGATGCGTGTACCGGCTTGTGCCCCCTGAGGCTGCCGTTACCATAGTGATAAAGAGATGAAGCAGCGGGCGGTGATTCACGAGACACAGGAAATGACCGTGAATGTTGTACGGTTTGTGAAACAGTAATAATGATATCATATGTGTTTTGATGTATAAACATATAGTTAAACACATATGGTTGTTTCTACACTGTAAAATATCAAATTATTATAGCTAGATTTGATAAGTATTAGGCACAGTCCAGTGGGAACAATTTAAAGTTATGTGAGTTACTTTGTGAAATGTGGAGAAAGAAAAAAAAAAATTCCAAGGCAAGCACTGGTTCGACCTACCCGTTCTCACCCTCACTGCTTCCTGATTGGACAAAATGAAATTAAATCCTAGTACACAGACAAGGCCCCTTGCCATTGGCCCAACTATTCTCCTCAAACCTATTCAGCAAATTTAACTGGTGATGAGATTTGCGACATTGCGACATGGTCACATGGTCAAAAATATGCATTATTTTTTTTAACTAAATACAAATGAAGTTACTGACTTCACCTTTATGCCTGGGTGAAAGGTGCAACATACCAATGGAAGGATACATGACATTCTGGCCCCTTGTCTGGTGTCGTTATTCCAAAGCCAGACTGGACAGTGCAGGGCATTACATGAGCAGACAGACTCAGGCCACTGACCGATGATGCACAGATTATCCACAGATGAGCACACGCATAATGCTCTGGGTTAAACCTCAAATAGCAGTGACTTGGTTTGTTCTAGTACTATTTATAGTCAGACATTCCTTGCTTCGATGGAAGTAAGTAAGTATATAGTAATATAGTAATAAAGTATATAAGCTTTATTTATATACCGCCTTTCACAGACCAGAGTCACAAAGCGGTTTACAATTGTTATTTTTTGGGCACTTGTCCTCTCACTCCACACAGAGATGGGAGCGGGGTCGCCGAACAGGAGGCGCATGCCAGACCTATTGTACATATTTTTAGTGGTAGGGAAACCGGAGTACCCGGAGGAAACCTACGCAGGCACGGGGAGAACATGCAAACTCCACCCAGAAAGGCCCTGGTCCGGCCGGGATTCGAACCCAGGACCTTCTTGCTGAGAGGCGAGAGTGCTATCCACTCAGCCACCGTGCCGCCCAAATGGACATTAATGACATTAATGACAAATTCAATATTGTAAACAGGGAATACAAATATCTAGATATATATTCTGGGCAATGTGTGAATCTGTACTGGGTATTTGGTTTATTATCAGTTAGTTCGAAATGCATTTATTCACACATGATTGTAGCTATAATATATATGAATGAATTATCTTTTTTGTGTGCAGGTCCTCGAGAATCCACCATCAAAAGTCCAAATCACAGCACCGAAGTAAACTCAGCTCAAATTAATCTACGTCCATATCTTTTTCTGTTTTTTCTTTCCTCAGAGTAAACCGTAAGCCTTGTACCTACAGCGATGACCTGTATTAGGTTCTAATGCAGCTTTATCAATGCTTAAAATCCATGTGTTTCATTGCATTGTTGGCTTTGACATTGTCCCCTATCGTTTTTGGTGTCATTGTATAATTTGTACATGCTCGTTATTGCTTGCTTTTAGAATTACATAAGTGGTATCATCAATGAAAGATTTCCAGCTGGTTATTGTTGATAAGTTTATTATTTCACTATCCCTCTGTTACGATCTGTATATGTACAGTTTTCTGCTCGTCTTAAAACAGGAGAGTAATGCGATGCTTGCTGTTTGATGTATCTGTATATGATTTTCAGTGTTAATTTAATGACGTAACCTACAATGCCAATGTGTTATTGCCCACGGAGATGTACTGTTCAATATTTGGTGTAGGTCAATTATGCAAGCACATGACAAACTATTATTCTGCCTGTTTTTAAAATGAACATGAAAACTGTGAACAAAACCTGTACAAACCAATGTGTGCATACAATCAAAACCAGAAAAATAAAATCATTTTTCAAGATACATTGCATTGACTGCTCCATACAAATAATAATACATTTATCGCATTATATACACATTTACTATAAGAAGAAAATCGACATATCGTTCTATGTCGATTTTCAGAGATTTACATTTTTCATTTGTTTCTAGTATTTTATGGTAAAAGTATAGTGCTTTATTCAGAAATGCTACTTTAAGGTCTCTGTTTTCGGATAGGGCTACATGTCTAAATGAAAGTGTATTACAGCTGTGACTGGAATGCTCAAAAGTATGACATAGTTCTCTCTACAGCAGAAAAATGTCTTTGAAAACACGACTCAATAAATGGGCTCTCTATCGTCAAATAAAATGCAGGACTGTGATCAAAAGTGTACGAGAAGGCAAAAAAAAAGCCACTCTCTCCCCGCAGTGGTAATCTTTGAGCACAGATGGTCTTCTGACTCACGTTGGAAAAACCACGGACTAGAGTTTGTGGAACTGTATTTTTTAATTCTATGGTCACATGACATTTTTGGCACGTTATTCAATTATACTGTGGAACATTCCAGGCAAAGATACAACACGCAGTTATTGGATTCACTACAAATTATAGTAAAATCTTAGTTGTTTTTTTCAAATCAAGTGCGTGTCTATAGAAATTGCAGGGTTTTGAGGACTCACTGCTACTCAATGTGTAACACAAATTCTGTTTCATATCCACAAATAAATGGGTTCTTTGCATACCTTTTGAACACACAATGTTGTACTCATTAAATCTGCAGACATCTTGAAAATGCAAGTGATGTTGATGATTTCCTAGGCTCATTTTAAAGCCACAGCCCCACGTTACACATTCGTCCCGTTAGGTCCTTCATTGCGTGTGATGATCTTGTACACACTTTCTCTGAAGGTGCTGTCTGACGTGAGTCTTCGGGCCGTCGCCTTCAGCTCCTCCATCTCCCCGGCGTCATCGTTGGCCACGGCAAAGGACCTGGAGTGCTTCACTGTGCAATGAAAGGGAAGAACAAACCGTTCACATGCACAGAGACAATCCTGCAATACTCAGTTCTGAAAGCATGAGAACAGAATTCAACAATCCGAGGCTAGATGTAATCAGAACAGATTGAATTTACAAAAGCAATTGCAAAGTATACTACCAGGGGAATTTCTGAAACCCATTGGACCTCATTGTACTATAACTAACCAACTAAGTAAGTAAGTGAGTAAGTAATCTTTATCTCTATTGCACTTTTCACAGAACACTTAACAATTGTTGTGTGCATTTGTCCTCTCACTTCACACAGTGATGAGAGTGTGTTGCCACACAGGAGGCACATGTTAGGCCTATTGTACATGTTTATATCGATAGGGGAAACTGAAGCACCTGGAGGATACCAACACAGACAGGGAGAACATGCAAAGTCAACCCAGTAAGGCCGCGTCTGGAGGAGGAATCGAACTCAGCCACTGTACTGGAGTTACTCATATTGGGGCTGACTAATGAGTGGCATCTCTTGTAGCTGCCAAACCCAACCAAATTCCAAAGTACTTTTTACATTCTTCTAAATATGGGTACATATTTCTAATGTACATGTTTTTAATGTTCACCAGACTTACACCAGTGGCGTTTGGAGGCCCTCCTCTGAATCCTGCAGCTCTTTATCCTCCGCGCCGCAGCTTTGTGAAGATACACCGCGTTCTTCATGATGGCTGGCAGCTTCGCCTCAATCTCAGCTGCACAGATGCACTCCTCAAAAAACTCTGCAATAAAATGATTGTATTAATCAAAAGGGACAACTTGTTTTGTCCAGCAGGGGGCAGAATCCTGAAGAACTGGTCTATAACCTTTTGTATAGCGCGTGATCTCATTCAGTACAACAGGCAAGATCCATCTAAGGCCCATGGGCCAAATGTGGTCCTCTGTGTCAATTTATGTGGCCCTCTGCCTTTCTATCTGAAAGTAGTCTATGAGATCATGAACACAAGTTCACAGTGTCATCCAGCCAACGTCAGCTCTACCCATAGAGACGTGTTATACCTTGTTCAGAGTAGAGTTTACTTATAAGTATAGACAGACACATTCAGACTGTTGTTTTAACTGTACAACAGTCTGAATGTCTGAAAAGAGATTCCTCACCTATACCTAACATTTTCCTTCACAGAACACAAAGGAGAAATTCAACTTGAAACCAGAAGACTGCGCAAAAGAAAATGCACAATATACAGATTTCATACCCCATTGTAAACAGTTTTAAAATCCTGGTTGCCCTCTTTGAACACCCCTGCAGGACAGTAATTGGATCTGCTTCCGTTCACAGAAGCCTCAAAAAGTGCTCAATGTGATTCTAACACAGTATTGCATGATTCCTTGTACTGTCAGGTTGTGTCATATCCATGGCCCAAACTCACTCCTGAGCTGAGTGACGTCCCCTTTCATTCTCTCGTGGCTCTCTTGGCTTCGGTCCAAACAGCTCAGGCCTTTCTCCAAATTCTCCAACGCCTCCTCAGCCGACTTCAGCCTGTGCTCCAACTCCACCCGCGACTCAATCTCAACCTGAAAACGAAGCACTTATAATTCTTTAAAGGTTAATTTCACAACTGTCTTGGCATTACAATTTCTATTTACATTGGAAATAAGAAAAAAAGTCATAATACTTATGTATTGTGCATGGAAAAAGCAAACAGTATTTAGCAGTAAAGTAACAGTAACAGTATCTATAAAAGCAATGAGAGGTTACCTTGAGCTCGGCCTCAGTCTGCTGCTTGTCGGCTGTGAGCTGAGACAGAGACTGCTGCAGAGTTTGAGCTTGTGATGAATAAAACTCTCTCTCCTGCTGCAGCACCACCGACTTCTGCTCGTTCTCCTGGAGCCTGGGAAACAGATAATAAATAACCATTTAACTTTTTACATCCTGCTGTGAAAATCCTAATTAATTTCCTTCCATAAAGCCACAAGTGTCGTGTAAAAATGGGGAAATGTTGTCATCAACAAGAAATAGATCAGAATTCTGAATTCCTCCTTAAATTTGGGAAACAACAACATCAAATCAGAATGTTGGTTGTAGGTGCAGTTTTGGTCCAGTTTTTTGGTAAACCCCTGGTAGGACATTATCATCGTAAGTCAGTAAAATCCAAAATAAGATTATTTTTTATTTTTTTTACATTTCAAGAAAATACTAAATCTAAGTATGTTAACTGGGATATTATATTAATTTCCATTGTGCAAAATATCTTGATTAATGTGAGAGCAGCTCTATTATAATTCACAAAGCGCGTCCTGTGAAGATGTTGGGATATTAGTGCGGCTGTCTCCCAGTTGATGTGCAGTGCTGTAAAATCCCACTCTGGAGCCGTCTGTCAATGCACCACTTGTTTAGGATCAATACACATTTCCACTCAGGTCACTGCTCTTGAACCATTAGCACAGACCTGACCAGACCTCACGGCACGAAGCTTTTGGGTACTTCGGAACAACATAATATCACATGGTTATTGAATTTTCTTGTAAACTGTGGAATATTTATGCAGAACAAGAAATCGTGTATTGTTAATATTTATAAAAACAAAATTGATATATGTTTTTTAAAAGGCTGTACGTAGCATGCACTCTTAGTGGTATAACAAAGTCATTATTCACATTATTATGTTGTGACATATAGCTTCTATATAGCTTCTATAAGCACTGCATGACTTCTACTATTTCTGTACTTAGTTTCATATATGTGTGGTGCTATTATCTTATTTGTGAATATTGTTATGTATATACAAAAAATAGATCAGATCAAAAGCCAAAATCAAACTGGCAAACCCAAATGAGAGATTCAGTCTGCTCGCTGATTGGATCATTTGTTTGAAAATTGTAAACATAAGTATTATTATGGATATGATGTAATTTGTATTTTTAATTAGGAATAACTTTAGCACTTTAAACTTTTGTTCAGAAAAGGTCAAATATGATTAGTACATGTTGACATCTCGGGGCACATACAAAAGACGTAAAGTAATTTAAAATGAAAATGTTACATTGTCATATCATTTTGTGAAAATCATGATCTTAAGCTATATAACTTATGTTCATTTAGTCTTTAACAAATACTGACTATAAAAATGACATCTGAAACATATCATTGCTTCTCACTTGTGTTCGGCCTGGTCTTTTTCTTTGAGCAACACTTTCATTTGGTCTTCAATGTGCTTGAGGTCCAGGAGCAGAGTTGTGTCCACTTCTTCTTCCTCTGCGTCAGGTTCTGCAGGGTCCTCAGGGTCCTCAGTGTTTTGTTGCTTGTTATCCTGATGCTCTTTGGCTCCGAGGAGATCCAGTGTGCGCTGTTTCTCCACGGAAAGCTCCTGCCAGAACAGAAACGGGGAAATTGTTGTATATGAACTGTAGGTTTGAAAAAAATGCTAGAGAGTTTGTTCAAAACAGGATCAGTCTTACAAAATTGTAATGTTAGGATCAGGCCTGGTGGTCAAAAATTGGCCTTCATGACTAAATTGGCAGCAATTTTGTGGGATTTTTAAAAAAGATTTCTTGTTTCTCCAGTCTATTCTTACAAGCAAACATGATTTTACACATACATCACATAAGGTTAACTTATGACACTTAAAACTGCAGTACCTAACTTTTTGTCACATCATTAGGTGATCCAGCTTTAATAGTAATTTGACTATTTGACTATTTGAATGTATGGATTGGAATGGCCTTCATATATGAATGCAATACTTTCTGCTTTAGTTGGATAGACTGGATTTTAGTTTTGTATACAAAAGGAAATGGTTCGATCAGGTAACATTTGTTGACAATACCTCAATAGATTTCTGTAACATGACCGTCAGACTGCTCAGCTCCCTTTTCTCTTGCTCCACTCCCTTCAACGACTGAGACGTTCCCTCCAGGTCTCTGTAATGTACACGTGCAGTAAATGTAGGTGAGAAGTACATTATGTTAACTGCATTACTGTCACAGCAAGTGCATGTGTCTCTTTAACCAAACGCAGGATTAGCCATTAGTAATGATATAAGCTTTTTACAGTTAAAAGCAATGAAGGGACTTAAAGGCTCAACACCTAAAGATTCATATAATATTGATATTATAGTTGTTCTGTTGTTCATATTAATTGCAAGGTATGAAGGAAGCTTGAAATTAATGTTACTCACTTGTAGGTCTAACATAAAATCTTGGCAACAATTACAGACAGTTGATATAAAACCGCAAGTAAATAATTAATAAAAAAATATTTAACTGTTTAATTTGCTCTTGCTCTGTCTTCAGCTCCATTACCACCTCTTCGTATTTACGCTTCTCTTCCTCTAAAATCTCGTTGATACGCTCCAGCTCCTGCCACAAAAAATACAAACACGTCCATGGAAATGCACTGATGGCTATACGTGAACTATTGTCTTCAATCTGACTTCTCTCTGTGCTCTTTGGTGGCTCAGCTCCTCCGTCTCCTCCATGAGTTTATCTGGAAGAAACCAGAGAAAAAGATATTGTAGTTGAGGAGAAGTACAATGTATCGGGAGGTAATCAGAGTTGACTTATGCACCCAGATATTCTTGCTTCTCTTTGGCGAGCTGCAGTCCCTGTGCCTCCAGACTTTCGATCATGGCTTCTCCGAGCTGAGAATTCTTCCATGTCCTATTACAACAAGTCTGATTACAACTAGTTCGTTCACAACACAGATCAAGTGCACATTTTATCCTTAAATTCTAATCATTCTGACTTGGACTAGATAAAGATCTCACACTACATCTATTTAATGTGAGGTTTTTTATAAAGCCCTCCTCAGTCTAGCGCTGTCATACATTTCGGATTGACTCGTACTTTGTCTCAGAGCCTCGAACCTGAACCTTCTCGTTGTTGTTCAGATACAATTGAGAGTAGGGGAAGCTACTTCATCATGCTCCTTGTAAAAGGAAAGTCCTAACCAGACTTCTTTGTTCTTTATTTTAGAGATATATCCTATGTTTAGCACATTAGGTTAAATGCTTTTGTTTAAAGTGTGCTATATAAATGTCTGTGCTTTGTAAATAAATGTACCTTCCTGATACAAAAATAGAATGTTTAAAAATGTTGATATTTGAAAAATATCATATTTGACTAATATTTGACCATATTTTCATGATTATTTAGCAGATATCAAGCAGACTTCAAAGTATGTATTATTACTTTATAGTATGATTTCCAATGAAACATTCATAAAAATTGAGATTTACTTAATACTGTTTTAATGACTCTTGGACTAAATAAATAAATGACATTCACAGACAAAAATGAATTGTAATATATTGTTTTTGTATTGTAAAATACAGTTCATATATTGTTTTGCTTACACTCTTGCAGACTCCTGTACCATCTCCATCCACTGAACCTGCTCCAGCTCAGACTCGGCTGCCAGCACGATGGTCCCCTGTAACACAAACCATTCCAGCTTCACATCCAGACCCTGTCCTCGTCTATGCAGTGTTTGGGTGAGGAATGTGCAAATCCCATGCTCCAGAAAAGACGCATGTTTACAGATGTTACTGTGTCGTAAAGTCCCCACATGGGAGTTCCGGGACGGGGAGGAGGCTCCAGCGAGACGCCCTGGGGAGAGCTCTGTGTTCATTGGGGAGACACTGTACAGCACAGGGACCTACTCCAGTTTAAAGACCCACTTTTGTCTAGTAGCCAAGTGTGTCACCTAAATTCATGTCAACAGGGGGTCAAATGTATGTAAACTTCATGACCTAAAAAGGTAGTGAGTACAATAGATTTAGTACTGACAAATTTCTCATTTTTAATGTATTTCTATGTACTTGTAAGTACTGTACAGAGCTATACTGTTATGTGATGTATAAAATAATTTCCACTGTATGATATTGTTTTGTATTGTATTTCGATTGGGATAAAGTTTGAATCAAAGTGAAGGTCAGTAACTTTGCAAATTGTGAAGATGTAGACAGTTAGACCCGTCCTCACAGGTTCCGAATTGAATACAATGAATTAGAATCATTAATAGACAGCTGAGGTCCCTCACCATTGGTCAAACTATTCTCCTTCAGAAAATTATTTATCTTCATTTAGATTTTATTTTTGCAGTACATGTGCTGAGAAGTTTCCGATTTGAAATTAAAGTAAGACAAACTATACAATGGGTCATGACTTTTATCAACATCCATGGGTCCATGGTGCACGGGAGGGTACTGTTGACCACTCTGACATTACACCGGACTTTTCATTTGTACAAATTGTGTGTGTAGCTGTTGGGTTTTGTTACTGCCCTGGGTTTGTGTTTGTGTGTTTCTCTTTTCATACATTCATTCAGTTGCTGTAGCAAGGGCAATCATCCTGAGATTTTTCCCCAATGGGGCCTATACAGTTTCACACAGTTATCATATTGGCTTTACTACAAACTGTTCAGGAAAGGAAACTTGTTACATGTTGTATAATTGACAAAACCAAAAAATAAATCATCAATAATATAATGTTGTGTGAATGTTTTATATAGAGGGATTTTATTGAAATACTATGTAAACTGTATTTGGGTCAAATCAAGCGCAATATATCTAATAGTATCCCCACTAGAGCAGTGGTTCCCAAAGTGGGGGTCCCGACCCCCCGGGGGGTCGCGGGAACCCCTGGGGGGGTCGCAAGATGATTTCCACACAAACAAACAATTTTTTTTTTTTTTTTGAGCAAATATAAAGCCCTTAAATATTTATTTAGCATTTGATTTGATTCAAAAGGACTACTTGTTAAATTGTGTTTGGATACTATAATATATTTTAATAACGTTAGTAATTTTGTCCCAGTCATTGCAGCGTCAATCAAAATCATCACGTAACACAGCTCACATCATGCGCAGCGACAACGCGTGTCCTGCTGTTGTTTGCTAAAACTAAAGGTGTTTGGAGGCTACAAATAAATAATAGCTGCTTTAAAATGAAACGTGGTTAATATCCACAACAGAAAAACCCGGAGGGGGAGAAAAGTCACATGTGAGGTCAGGCTGATGGTGCGAAGAGAGGGAGAGAGGGCAAAGGAGGGAGAGAGGGCAGCGGAGGGAGAGAGGGCAGCGGAGGGAGAGAGGGCAGCGGAGGGAGGGAGGACAGCGGTAGAACAGCGCGTTAAAGAGGCCCGGCTTTTCGGAGTCAATGGTAAAGAGGTCCGCACATTAAAAGCGGGTGGCCGGTTTATGCCTTTACTGACAGTAACTTTGGAAAGAGAAGCCGCGGGGATGAACCGCATAAAGTAACAGCAGAAAGCGGCCGCCCGCTTTTAATGTGCGGACCTCTTTACCGCTGACTCCGGAAAGCCGGCCCACTTTACCGCGGTAGGAGAACAGTGAGGGCGAGCCGCAAGAAATGCGCTCCACTTCTGCTGAATTACATGAGTAAAAATATGCAAGCCTCCTTTTTTGGGCTGGACAGTGCAGCTCGGTAGTAGCGTGAGTCTCTAGAAAGCGTTACTCCGTATCAAGGAAATACATGCTCATTTCATGTGACGAAAGGGCTGTTGGGGGGGTCGCGGGTTAGCAGGGCATTTATGATGGGGGTCGCGGGCTAAAAACTTTGGGAACCCCTGCACTAGAGAGCCCTGATGGATTGGAAAATGAACACCAAATTAACTGCAAAAAGGATAAATAAAAACCTCTCCTCACTAACAAATAACACAATATCCTATCACAAAGAAAGATGCAATTTTGTTATATGTTATAAATAAGTGACCTTTACGTATAGAGCACCTCTCACAAGGCACTTCTACAGTCCTATTTTCTTACACAGAAGTCTTCCAGGTGGATCTCGATGGCAAAAGGCATTCCCAAGTTCTCACTCGCAGACACCACACATCCACCCAAAGGAATCACCCCCTAAAAACATGTGATTGTTAAATGTGATTAAAAAAGATCCTACAGTTTGGTGTGAGATGTTGAGTTTACTGACCTTTGGATGGATGTTGAGGCATCTGTTGGCCTCGAAGTTCCGCTTCTCGTTTTCAGCATAATAAAGCAGGAAACTGTCTTTGATGATGAAGAATCTGAGGCAAATTATAATGTTTAATGTTAATTAAGCTGCATGAAGTAAAAGCCATTTTCTTGAAGGTAACAGTTAAACAATTGCACATGTATTCTTATGCTTACTATATTAATGATTGTAACAACACACATCTCGTTCAGGGTCAATGCAGTGTTGAACAAGTCAATACAAACGTGTGTTATGTAATATATTGCTATTTACTGGAATTCAAATATATTTGTGTAACAATATCCTTATCAAAAATATTCAAAACATTACAATTTAAAATGTAATTCTGTCCAAGTTGTGTTTCAAAATATTGAATGTGTCAGCATACAGATATCATCGTTTCTTTTTTTCAAAAATATACAATCAAAGTGAATATTCATGTAAATTGAATTTGACTGTAACTAGTAGGATAATATTTTATAATTTTTTTCTGCTGACGATGATGATACATTACTGAGTTACTGAACACTGGCTGCATCTGTAAACAGGATTAGAGTTTTTTCCTCACTGACATCACGAACATTCACACCACTGTAGCACGCAGACACTGGAGGCGTGAAAAGTGTCTTGCTCAAGGATTAGGGCAGTATCAAGCCACAAACCTTCAGAACATTCAGTTTTTTTATTTAATTTGTGAGAACAATCTTTGACTATATTCAGGCTTGATTTACTCTCAAATCTAAATAAATACACATGTTTCTCTACAAACAAATAAACCACACATCAACACACAAAAAATGCTAAAAAGTGCACTGTATGGATGACAATGCATTAATGAAGATAAACTTTTCCCCAAGAATATATTGAAAGAAATCGAGATAGTTGATAGAGCGCCACATACAAATCACAGAGCAGTTTACATTATTAAAGAACAGCAGATAAAGTACTGTAAATAGAACTAAAGATTAAAAAAATAAAAATGTTAAGGGTTGTTGTTACATTTGGCCAAATCAGTTCTAAAATAATTCCAAAATACTACTTATTAGAGAAGTTTCCCTTAGTTGAGTAATACATTTCTGCCTCCAAAATGTTATTAATTGTTTCTCATTCATTTTGCTTATTGTAGCCTTTTGTCTTTTTTGAAAACCAGAGCCATGCAATTTTATAAATCCTTTGATCACGATCCTCATTAAACAGTACTTCTATTAGACTTAATTATATGAAACCACTGTACTTAATTCTTTCCAATAAGCATATTTCTAAAAGTCACTGACCTGCGGGACCACTTTGCAGAGGGGCGTCCAAATGGCCTCTTCCAAAGCACCCCGTGAATCTGCACTTTGGTGCTGATGTCCAACGCCTCCGTGTCCGACTGCTCCATGGACGACCAGGGTGAGAGGAGTGAGTTTCTGGATGCTGAGGAGAACATGATCCGGGAGGGCTATTTCTCCCCTGTCCCGCAAAGAGATGGTGAAAATCGATGGGGGGGGGGGGGGGAACTAGATAATTAGTCAATAACAATTAGCACAGTATCACTCGATGGCACAGACACAGAGCAGGAGCATCCCAGGAAGTCAGTGGAAATAAGTAGTGGTCAATAGCTGGCAATGCACTGGACACAGCAAAACACAACAAGCAGAAGAGAGGAAGTAAAGGGGGAGGGACGTAGGAGATTTAGGAGCAAAATGCTTAGTCAATATAATACAGCACCAGTGAAAAGGCTTTGCTGAGATTATTGTAGTCCTCTTCGACATTTGGCAAGTAGTTGAGATGAAGAATTAAAGGAACTTCTATCTGTGTCTCTGTGTCTCTGTGTGTGTGTGTGTGTGTGGATGGCATCATGAGCTGAGCATGGATAAAGAGCGAGAGTATCAGATTAATTTACAGGACATGTGTCAGAGCAAATGTTCTGTGGGATTACAGTGATACAGACAGCTCAGCCTGGTTCTCACAGCACACAGCATCTTCCTGCCAAAAGACCCCTTGGATGCCATGAAGTGCACAATAATAGATCAGAGAAAGAAAGTTCCCAGAATCTGGATGTGCAAAAACAGATGTTATTGTTTACATTGTTTTATATTATTCATTGTTCTGGATTATTTTTCATTATTGATGCTATTGTGTCGTGGTTGTAAAAAATAATGTATTCAAAATGAGATTTAACAATGGTTATTTTTATTCTTATCTAAATGGGAAAAGGTCATAGAAAGTCTATTAGATTCATTTTAGCTATCCTTGTGAAAATTGATTGTTGTCATCATTGTTGATATGAAACACATTGGAACAGGATAATCACATTTAGTATAATGTCAACATGCAAGAATGCAGAGCTGAATTCAGCCAAAGCTCACCTATAAAATATAACTGCCCATGCAAGCAGTAGTTGCATAACAGTTGATAGGTTCTGGTCGGGACATGAGTGAATGGCCTCTGTCCAACAGCTGGTAACAGAGTGTGGTGTGCATTTGTACCTTTTGTAATATAAATCACTAAAGTGATTTATATTTAGCCAAAGCCCTAAACTGCACAGTAAACTATAAATGGCATGATGTTAACAACAACTGAAGGGCCATGTCCACTCAGAGGTGAAACTCATTATGCAAAACATTTTTGCCTCTGCAAACCCTTTAGCAAAGACATGGACTGAACATTAGCTAGACCTTGTTGTACCGGTTAGAAAATGTTTAATTTAGCCATCATAAACCACAATGCTTTACAACAATCAGTGTGAAAATAAGGCAGCCGCATTCAGGAATGACAATAAATAAACTGTATACTGGGACAATGACAGAAAAGTGAACAGCCCCAGAGTGTGCTAAAACAGAAGACAAAATTACATTTCACATTAAAAATATTATTCAACAACTGGTTTGACATATTAATAAATTCAACTCTATGATCTACACATCATTAGAGAAAATAAATGGTTGAATGTAAAAGTCTTGTTTTTTTTATGAAGCTATAAAAAAACCTGTTCTTTAGTAGTAATTATTATAGTTGCACACAATGGGACTGATAAAGGTGTCCCGTTGACCCTTGTTTTTCCCAAATATAACAAATTGTTGAAGAGAGTAAATTGTATTCAAACTGTTGTACACATAAAAGAATCACTTATCAACATTCACTGTGTGCAAAACAGATCAATAAAGCCAAAAAAAGATGAAAAGTGTTCTGTACAGTATGGACACAGATTTACAATACATAACTGAGTAACAAACAATTGTGTAACCTGATCAAACTAAGTTTGTCAATTATTTAAGACTTAAGTCAATACCAAAGACCAGGTACATAGTTTTTATTTTAGAAATATATTTATTTATAGTTACAAAATCAGGGGACATGTTGCAATTTTTGCCTTTTGATTAAGTTTATATCCAATTATAAAGCAGAACAACACCGTCGAGGCGGTCATTTGGGTTGCCAGTAATAATGTGATCTAGTTTAGATGTCAAAAACCTCTCTGGGATTGAGAAAGTCATGACCTAAATGACGTCTATGAATTTTTACTATACTACTATACTGTTCAAGGCACCGGCAATCCTTGTTAATTGGAGATTGTTGTTTTACCAAGACACTATTTAACCTTCCTTAATGATCAGATACTTCCTCCACCTACATCAGTATATCCTCATTATTACCCAAGTTTAATAGAGAAGTAAAATGCTTTTGACTTATAGACACAATACAGGTCTCCTGAGCCAATGGTCCCTATGGGGAGGTAATGCCCCTTTATAAAAAGGCAGGTAATTCATTCACTCAACATCCAACCATTTCTATACAATCACGTCATTTGTACACTTACAGTGGTATTTTAGCATTTGAAGAGCAAAGAAACCATCTCCAAATTCAAAAGCAATCTCAAAAAATGAAGCTGGTGGGACAGTCTCAAAGAGTTCTAGCTAAATGTTTTTAACAGCTGTATGTGGCATTGCTTTGAGAGGTAAGCAATTTTCTAGTTTTGACAAGGTTTTGTTTCTAAATCCTAAACAGCAAGCGAATATGGCACTTCAAAATTGTTACAGCTCCAGTCTAGTAAAGAGTAGCTGTAGTTGAATCAAGGATGCTTTAGAAAACAAAAACAAAAAAACAAGACACACCATGAACATAAAGCTAGCTTAAGATAGAGTCCCCTTTTCACGTCTAAATTCTGTGTGGCCATTAAAAGGCTCAAAGTACAGTCTTCATCGCCAGTAAGAACATTCTCACTGTCCTTATTGTCACAGCAATGATGTAAGTTTCCGAGACGCATCAAATGGTTTTCATCTGGTACATCCGGATACAGATCGACAAGTCTGTTCCCTCATTGGGTCTTTAATAGGTTTCTCTAATGATGATGCCCAATTGAGAGCACCAAGGGAATGAGGCAGCCGAGAACCAGCGCTGCCACCTCCACCTTGCTCAGTCCTTTGCCTCCGTTGGGTCCGTTTGGTGAGTGAGAGTGTCCCCCGCCTCCCACCTCAGGCAGGACATGGACAGTGGCTACGTACAGGAAAGTGCCGGCAGAAAACAACATGGCAACTCCAGTGGCGTTCACGTCTGAAAGGGCTTCTTTGCTGCTCTGTAGGAAGGAAAAATATTTATGGCAAAGTGCATTTGCCAAGACAGGTGTGTAAATATTAAGATATTAAAATGTGAAAAAAGTTAAATTATAAATAATAAATAATAAAGCTTTATTTGTCCCTCAGTGAGGGGGATTTACATTACAGCACACATTAAGCAGGATCTATCATTTAAGGCAGTGTCTCCCAAAGTGGGGTCCGCGGCCCCCTGGTGGGCCGCGAGGGTACTGCAGGGGGGCCGCGGGAGGTCATAAAAAATAAAAAATAAATTATTTAATGTTAAATTTATAATCTTTTGTTTGTAATATTAAAATATTTGTGTTCATTATTTGACTTGAATAATCCACTGTAATCATTTTTGTATTACAATGTTTGTAGCAGAGGCTATTTCCCCAAAATAAAATAACCAGAAGAGCCTATTCTTAATGTTGTCTTCTTGGTTATTATTTTGGGGGGCCACGCAGACCCGTCAGATTTTTAAGGGGGCCTCGGTGTTACTGAGTTTGGGAATGGCTGATTTAAGGTAATAGAATAAAACTCTGGAGGTATAAGTACACTGGTTTAAGGATAAGTCACTTGTGGAGGATACACTGTAGATAGCAGCATCATGAGGTAATTACAGATGGTTAGTATTGTGTGTTAGCAACAGAATATGAGTAGAATAAACAAAAGTATTAAATAAATATTTGTTTTTTCCCCCATATAATCCGTCTTGTTGCAACCATTTTAAGAGACGATCTTAGGTGACGTACATAGGAACGATGGAACAGGTAAGAGTTGTTTTATTGTCAAAAAGTAATGTAATAACCCCCTTACATATAAAAACCAGAATTGGCCACACTGATCATCCCTCTCCAATCAAGCAATCGCTTTTGGTAATTTGTGTAAACACTGTAATGTATGTATGCGTTTGACCATTTGGGATAATTACCTGGCTTAGTCCAACAAATGTTAGCATAGCGAGGACAGGTGCAGCCAATGCAAAGACAAAGAGATGTTTGCGAATGCGGTTCCTTTCAAGACCGGCATGCATCAGAAATGACACAAGACCAAACGCTGCTGGAGCCTAAAACATATGTGAGGATTGCATTAATAAACCAGTCTATAGAATGGGATAAATGAATAACACTACCTTATGAAGCATGATCGCCACAAAAACAATGAGCTGCACACTGGTTTGTGAAGTGGAGGCAGCAGCTCCCAAAGCCACTCCATCAGCTACAAGACAATAATATTAATGGTACTTAGGAAAAGGTACACTGATTAGCATTTCACATTCATTTATTCATGTGTAGACTTACCTGCAGCATGGACCACAAGCCCTAAAGTTGTTGTGATCTTTGCTGATGCAGATTTCCCAGACTCCGGATCTAAATCAGAAATGGCATTTCAAAATCAGGCCCTGTGCTTAACCAATACTAACCATTCTGCTGAAATCAACACTAACCGTCAGTGCTGTGCATGTGGGCACTTCCGATCTGATCAATGAGCAGCATGAAGACAAATCCCAGGACGAGGGAGACCCCAATGCAGGCATGGAGCTGCTCGTGGCTATGCTCGTGTGTCCCTCCAACCGCAAGAGCCTCCACTGCCTCAGCCTTTGCTTCAGACACCTCCACCACTCCAGACTGACCATGACTGTGCTGCCCTATGTGAGGGAATATGACAAATCAACTACAAGTGTAAATTTATATCAAAATAACGACTCTATATTTTTTTCTAAATACAGTGTTTTCTTTTAAGGAGAGCACCAGGATTTAATGAACTTTCCCCTTTGTCAACAACAGTCAACAGTCCGACTACCAAAGTGTCAACGAGCCAA